TCAACGCTTCAGAGAGTTCTTCACGAGGGTCACAGGATTCTGCTGGTGGCCCCCTTCTGGCCAGCGAGGGCATGGTTTCCTCTCCTGCACAGACTCTGTTGCGGCGTGCCATGGCGACTCCCCGACAGAGAAGACCTACTGTCTCAACGAGGAGGTCGGATTTGGCATCCCAATCCTCGACGCCTCCAACTGTATGTTTGGCTGTTGGAGGGCCCGAACCGCTGCTGAGCAGCTGTGTGGACCCTGTGAGGCATACCATCTTGAACGCCAGAGCGTCGTCCACTCGGCTGCAGTATGACAACAGGTGGAAATTATTTTCTGAATGGTTTGAGGGCCAGAGTGCAAATCCAGTACATTGTTCTGTGCCTACTATTCTGGAGTTCCTGCAGTTTCTTCTGGACAATGGTCGGTCTCCTTCTACCCTGAAAGTGTACGTGGCAGCGATTTCATCTAGACATGCTAGAGTCAATAATGGCACAGTAGGGAGCCACAGTCTGGTGTCCCTCTTCCTCAGGGGAGCTCAGAGGTTGCATCCCCCGAGAGCTCCAAGAGCTCCATCATGGGACCTGCCTCTGGTGCTGGAGGCTCGAGGCAGGCCTCCCTTTGAGCCGTTGGCGCAAGCAGAGCTGAAGTGGGTGTCATCCAAGACTGCATTCCTCCTGGCTGTTACCTCAGCAAAACGCGTCAGTGAGCTGCACGCTCTTTCTGTCAGCGACTCGTGTCTGAGGTGGAACTCAGATGGTTCAGGCGTCACTCTATGGCCGAATACAGCGTTCCTCCCTAAGGTGTTGTCCCACTCGCACCTCAACCAGCCTCTACAGCTTGCACAGTTTAAACCCCCACCAGGAGAGGGGGGGACAAGCCGGAACTGTTGTGCCCTGTGCGGGCCCTGAGAGCTTATATCACGGCCTCAGCATGCATTCGGCGGTCAGAACAGCTCTTCCTCTGTTTTAGTGATCCTAAGAAAGGCTGTGCTCTCTCCAAACAGCGACTGTCCCACTGGATTGTGGATGTCATTCGCCATGCATATGGGGCAAGTAATCGTTCTTTGCCATCAGGCGTGACATGCCACTCCACCAGGAGTGTCTCTACGTCATGGGCTGCCCTGAGAGGAGTGCCCTTAGAAGATATTTGTTCTGCAGCTTCATGGGCCTCATCAGGAACATTCTCACGGTTTTACAGGGTGAATGTTGCTACCCCCCATCCACTGGGTGTGGTGCTGTTGCCGGAGTCCTCTGATTCTACTTGTTAAGGTTTGTAATCAGGATCCTCGTGACTTTGCTGGTACAAGTCATTCAGTGCTTAAAGCACCGCCTCTGGCGGTCAGCAGGGATGAAATAGAACGAAAGTTACGAATGTAGCTATGGTTCTATGAATCCCGAATGACCGCCAGACCACTCTGTCACTCAGAATCCTCGTGTTCTCGCGAGAAGATTCTGTAGGAACAGATACTCTGATGACACCGGAAGAAATAGTCTCCCCCGAGGTCATCCAGGTGTCACAGGTGACATTGTTGGTATTCATACTCGAACTGCGCATGCGCGAAGGGGAATATTCAGTGCTTAAAGCACCGCCTCTGGCGGTCATTCGGGATTCATTGAACCGTAGTTACATTCGTAACTTTCGTTGTGTTTTCCAGACTCTGTTTAGGGGTAAGTTCTGGCTGCCTCCTAACTTGGCTGCTATCCTTTAGCATAACTTGAGCCAATGGAAAAGTCTGATGTCCTTTTTTGTTGAGTTTTTGCAGACTGTGTGTCTGCCAGTTAGAGCACATTGGAGGGGCCGTCGCAGTCTCCTGACCTCAGCATCACTGAGCCACTTTGGGGGGATCTCAGACGTGCAGTTCATGCAGGACAGCCCAAGAATTTACAGGCGCTTAAGCTTTTTGCCAAGAAGAAGAGGCTGCTTTACCATCTGAGCACAGAAAGGGCCTCATCCACAGCTGCCATAAAGGCTCCCAGCTGTCATTGATGCTAAAGGGGGCAACACCCAGAGCTGACGGTGTGTGAACTGTGGAACAGGGACCATCTCAGTGTTTCCTCTGTTGTTGTGCTCTATTTAATGAGTGTGCTTTGTTCTTTCAGAAGCCTCATAGTTTCGCTTAAATCCCATAAGCTGTACCACAGTAATTTCCCAGACTGGGATAAATAAAGTATTTTTCTCTTCTATTCTATAATTTGTGTCGTGTGAAGAGTCATGTGCTGGTCCACTATCCTCTTCCAAAGCCATTTGGGTCGGTGCACAGGGATGTCAGAACCTTTTATTGGCCACACGTTGGTTGAACGGTTGTCGAAATGGCTTCACCTTGTCGTGATGGTGGCCAGAGGGGTGTGCCAGGAAGTTAGTTATACACGGAGTAGAAGTCCTCCACAGTACGGCCGCATCAGAACCAGCGCTGCCACGTGCTGTGCAGGAACAGTGGCACTCACAAGAAGGACAGACTTTCAAAAAATGGCGTTTTTAACTAAAATGCCTGGAACTGGGCGGCTGTGGCTCAGGTGGTAGAGCTTTGAGGTTGGTGGTTCGATCCCCTCCACAGTCCAAGTGTCCTTGGGCAAGACACTGGACTCGAAGTTACTCCTGATGCCAGGCAGCACCTTGGATGGCAGCTCTGTCACCGTTGGAGTATTAATGGGTGAATGAGAAACACACTGCAGAGAAGTGTTACATAGGTGTAGACCATTCAGGCCATTTAAGTAAATGATGGTCATTACGAAGAAGAGAGAATGAGTATTTATTTCATAATGTCTGTTTCTATTTAATTTAAAACCCTGTGGAGTTACGTATGCTCATGTGTTCCTCAGTGAGTCCATCAACAGCTTGAAGAGGAAGTACTCTCAGTCCTCAGAACCCACCGAGAGCGACGCTGCCATTGAAAGAACCCTGAATGAGGTGGCCAAGGAGGGCTGCCAGTTCCTGCTGGATGAAGTCTTCCTCGACCTGGAGGTGAGAAGGGCAGCTGATAGACTATGCTGTAGGTTTGAAGGGCATTTGTTCTGTTGTGGTTAGAAATGCCTGTTTGTTAAAAAACCATTAGAGACATAGTTCAGGACGTGAATCTGCCGTATTGTTTTGGCCTCAGTACGCTGTGTGGTTTAAACCAGTTACCTGTCTGGACAGGTTTTCTGTGATCTGTGTGGATGTGAGGTTTCTGTTACGTCAGGCATCTTCCCAGTTAAAATCAGATGGATTTCATTTGACTTGTGTTCCACAGGGCGATCCGAAACTGTGTCGACTCAACAGTAACATCTGCTCATAAGCTTTAGCCAGAAATGTGTTTATAATGTTCAGGTTCTCTGTTCAGACATGTAGAGTGTGCTTTTATTAGCTGACAGTTTCGGCGAAACCTCTCGAATTCTTCAGAGATGACACTGACAGCGGGTGACGTGTCCCCGTGTGTTTACAGGAGCTACGGTCACAATGTGATGACACAGAATGTGTTTACGGGCGTTTGCTGATATTTACACTGCAGAATAAACTGTACAGTAATAAATAATAGACGTATTTCAACTTTTTGCTACAACATGAAAACACTTTTAGAAGCTGCAGAAGTGCTCAGCACTCTACGTTGGTCAGCGTTTAGCTCCAGCTCACACATCACAGCTTTGCTTGTGATTTAAACTTGAATAAAACAAATGGACAGCTGGATGTTTGGCCACACACTGATTAAAAACAGACAAACGTCCAGTGCACTTACCTGCTGTTCTTTGTGCCGCTGTATTGATCAGCATCACCTGAACGAGCTGCTGACCAGGAAGTGGCTGACGGGCTCTCATGCTGTGGACACCATCTGTGTGACGGTGGAGGACTACTTCAATGACTTCAACAAGATCAAGAAACCCTTCAATCAGGTGGGATGGAAGCCACCGACGGGCTCCAAGCAGAGTATCTCCAGAATTCAGAGTTCCTATGAAGCTGAATGGAAATGTTTGTCCGGCTGACTGCGGATCAGTCTAACCTGTGTGAGTGTCCTACAGCTCTGAGCGCTGACTGCTGGATGTGGTGTGTGCAGGAGATGACGAGCGAGGCTCTGCGCCGGGTGGTGGTGGAGTACATCAAAGCAGTGATGCAGAAGAGGATCACCTTTAAGAACGCTGATGAGAGGAGGGAGGGAGCTGAGAGGATGATCAAAGAAGCTGATCAGTTCAAGTTCCTCTTCAGGAAACTGGCTGCAGTGAGTCCATGTCTGTTGTTTTCTCTGTACTGTAGCATGATTCACTTCCAGCACAAGTGTGACAGATGGAGAAGTGTCTGAACATTGGCATATGTTTGATTCTTTAGGGTCTCTGCTGCAGCACATGGTTGGGAATGAAATAATGGAAACTATATTCAGATTTGTCTGTCTGTATCTGCAGTCACTGATAGAATAGAGGAGCTTCAGCTGTCTCCCAGTATGTGGACCAGGTCTGACCCGCCATGTTGGCTTCAAGGACGGACATTGGATTATAATCTGAATATATCAGAATATCAGAATACATGATAGCTCAAACATAGCTAGTTCTAACAGTAGTGTCCATTATGTTATGCTTGGGCTGTGAAGCGTAGCTAGCAATCACAGAGTCTCTGTGACTGAACACATCCAGTGGTTGTGGACTCAGCTGGTGCTCCAGTGCACCTGTCAGGGCTCGGCCCGTGTAGACATGGTGTCACAGTGAGTGTGCTGCTTGAGGAAAGCCTAACTATGATTGTCCGTTCAGGGTGAAGACACAGACTGGCTCTGTGGAGCCATCGCTGCCATCGCTGAAGTGTTTAAGCTCACCGACCCCACCCTGCTGTTCCTGGAGGTGACCACGCTGGTTTCCAAGTATCCTGACATCAGGTCTGCACAGTCACACACACACACACACACACACACACACACACACACACACACTTTGACGTCCATCACCAGGATTCATAAATCTTGTTTAGAGCAACGTTTACGTTGGACAGATGCAGAGCGGACAATCTACACAAATGAACACCACTGAAACGGGATTCCACTGACCATACACTAGTCTTCCTTAAATTGCGGTGCTGCTGCTGAAAGCCCTGCTAGCATTCACCGTGATGCCCTGCCAGCATTCACCGTGGAGGAGCTGCTGTTGTGCTGAGGACACCCATCTGTACCCTGGTGTCTAAACAGCCCTACTGCAGCCATAGCCCTCACCTCCCTGGCTGCTACTCACATCCTTAAAGCTTGTTTTTGAACAGGAACACACACACTCTCTGAGTTGACTCAGAATGATCGTGTTGAGCACTTTATTGATCCATGTGACCAGTGAGCAACAGGAGAAACTGAGACCTGATGTGCAGCGACATGGTGACTGGTGGAGCCTTTCCATATGAACTCACTCTGTCACCAGGTGGTGGCTCAACAGAAGAACAGAGACATAGTTTGATGGTGCTGTGACGTAGGCTGGGATCATAGTAGCTGCTGCCTTCAGCACTGTTGCTGATGAAACTCGTGACAAGACTCAAACAATTCAGTTTTATTTGTATAGTGCTGTTTACAACATGTCATCTCACAGCGCTTCACATAGTCAGGTACAGACCGTACAGGTTTAACAGAGAACCAACAATCCAGAGCAGCCTTTGGACTCCCTCTGAGCAGCCGGTTGGCAACGGTGGGAAGGAACCAAACCCCCCAAACCTCTGTCCTGAGTCCTGAGGATGCTGGCAGGGAGAGAGGCTGGTTTCAGCTTCCTCAGGAAATGCAGCCTCTGCCGGGACCCGCTGATGATTGCTGTGGTGTTCTTATTCCAGCTCAGGTCCTGGAGATCTGCACTCTGAGGAACCTGATGTTCTCCACTCTCTCCACTGTGCAGCTGCTGATGTTGAGGAAGCATGCTCAGGATGTGACCTCCGGAGGTCGATTCAATGACAGAACAGTGATAAATATCAGTAGCACCCGAGGGTTTGTTTGTGTCACGCTTCAATCCAACGTTGTATCCTTGGTCTGAATAAAGCCAGATAATACTAACTAGACTGATCTGAAAGTGGCTCTGAGTTCCTGTGTGACTGTTGTCCACGTGGCTGCCGTGTAAAGCTGAGCTTTCTGGTCTGTCTGCTCTACAGGGAGGAGCACATCCAGGCGCTGCTGGCCGTGCGTGGTGATGCCAGCAGGGAGATGCGGCAGATGATCATCGGCACGCTCTCTGAGAACAAAGTCTCCTACTCCAGCATCGCACATCCCATCTTTAAAGACATCACCGTGCCCACCATCACCATGACGACCATGACCTCCATGGCAACGGCAAAGCTGCTCAAATAAAGCCAGTCGTCATGACACTGTTTGTAGCTTCAGTACCTTCTGCCACCGTAGCGTAACTAAACTTCTGTTCTGAGACGCTCTGTTTATGTTTCACTGTTTAATGCCAGCTGCTGTGTTCTTGTCCCACCTTTTATCTGCTGTCTTCTCCAACAAAACAATAAAATTAAGATGGTAAAAATGGTTACCGACTGGTTGATGCATCACAAGGTCCTCTGCGTATTTAAGTTATTACATATATATAGTGCTTTACATGTGCATTAGACCACCGCTCATGAAAACAAGAAAACATAAATATTTTAGAATCTCAAAAACTTGTTAAAACTGAAAATGTATTATTTAGTTGGTGAGTAACAAACTGAAACGACTAAACCGTCCTTTTTTCACACATAACCAAAGCCCATGTCTCCTTTGGCCTCCTACGGCCTCCTATGGCCTCCTTTGGCCTCCTTTGGCCTCCTTTGTCCTCCTTTGGCCTCCTTCGGCCTTGATAACAGCTGCTTCTTGCTGTTTTATGAACTCTTCGACAGTCTCTGGTGTTACTGAGCTCCACATAGTTTCTAGATGTTCCCACAGACTTGCTTTAGATGAAACTTTTGTGTGATCAATCCTTGAATGTACGACATCCCAAATGTGTTCAATAGGATTCTAATCCAGACTCTGACTGGGCCGGTCCATCATTTCCAGAACTCCACTTTCCTTTTTCTGGTCAGATGGTCTTTGCACAGCTCTGAAGTCTGCTGGGCTCATTGTCTGGTTGGTGTATGAACCCATAACCAATAGGTTCAGTCCAGAAGGGATCCATGATGCACTAAGGTGTTGTGGTAGACATTCTGGTCCATGATGCACTGAGGTGTTGTGGTAGACGTTCTGGTCCGTGATGCACTGAGGTGTTGTGGTAGACGTTCTGGTCCATGATGCACTGAGGTGTTGTGGTAGACGTTCTGGTCCATGATGCATGATTCATGGTTCTCACTAACTTGCCATCTCCACTAATGGAGCCCATACCATGGTGGAGTCTCCACCGTGTGTCACTGTGGGTGCACCTGGCATCCAAACGTTCTCCAGCTTTTCTGAGGACAGAAACAACGATGCTGACCAAAGAGTTCAAGCTTGGACTTGTTCATCCAGAGGACCTTCTTCCAGTCAACAGTCCAGTGTTTGTGTTTCTGGATGTTTGCAGGCCTCAGTAACGGCTTCTCAGCAGCTCTTCTTCCCTCTAAGCCTTGTTCCATCAGTCGTCTCTTATGGTCACTCTGGAGACCTTCTCAGACTCTGGTCTAGAATCATCTCTGGCTGAAGATCAGCAGTGGTCTTCCTTCTGTCTCTAGTCCTTCAAGTCTCGAGGTGTCGACATCTGCTTCAGTTTACTGTCATTTCCTGCCTCTTGCTTGGAGCATTTTGTAAGAACCAGTCTCGTTAGTTGACTCCAGATCAGACCTGGCCCCACTGTGAGAACACTTTCTGTCTTCTCCTGTTTGTCTCAGAGACCGTCCAGCATCATGAAGAGCTTTGATGCGACTCTTTTATTTCAGTGANTCCCCTTCGCGCATGCGCAGTTCGAGTATGAATACCAACAATGTCACCTGTGACACCTGGATGACCCCGGGGGAGACTATATCTTCCGGTGTCATCAGAGTATCTGTTCCTTTTCATCTTCTCGCGCGCAGATTGCTATCGCTCTGATAGCGTTATCCAATGCCGCATTTCTAAAACTCAACTACGTCCCGTCGCTTTGTAGCTCCGTGACCGTGTTGGTCGGGGTGGCGGACTTTTCGGTCCTTAGCATCCACCCTGGACTAACCTTAGGTGGTGTAGTTTGCCAGGGTGGCGATTCTCTTCCAGCGTCACTATGATGGATAACCCCCACCATTGTGCATCCTGTGAGGCTCCTCTCCAGCCTGATGATGGCCATGATCTCTGCCCCACGTGCCGCGGTCCCGAGCACCTGAGAGAGGCACTCTCTGATAACCCGTGTATGAATTGCAGCTACATGCTGCGGGCGGTGAGAGCTGCTAGACTGGCAGACTTTGAACCGCCAGGGGGTGAAGGGGACCTCCCCCCCTTCGGGCCAATTGCCCCCACCCCAAACTTAGACGCTGTAAGCGTCGGGCAGGGGCTGCTGCTGCTACCCCCTCCAGGAAGAAGGGGAAGTCGGATCACAGCAGGCCTTCTTCAAAAGTGGATCAGCTTTCTGCGGAGTTGGCCCAGACAAGATCCATGTTTATGGCCCACCACTCTGAGGCTTCCTTGGAGGGCGCCGATGCTCCCTCGGGGGAGGCTGATGCGCCCTTGGAGGACCCTGTTATGCCGGTGCTGGTTCCAGAGGACGATGCTCTTTCTCTGGCGGCCTCAGCCACCCACTTTGGTGAATATGCGGAGGATACAGACGACGGGGCCTCCCAGGCCTCGGAGCCAAGCTCCCACTCCTCAGCTCAGGGTTCACTGGCTGAGACAGAGGACGGTTCCATGCGGGCCACTATTCGCATGGCCCTGGATCGCAGGCCTCCCCCCTCTGCCTTTGTGGTTCCTCACTCAGCGGACTACCTGAATGTCTTATACAGTGCTTGGAGAGATAGTAAGGCTTGTTCCTGGCTGCAAGCTGATGGCCGAGCCCTGGCAGCCATGCATGATGCAGCGAGAGTTGGCCTCGGCCACATGGCTGCTATTGAGCCTGCCATCGCTTCCCTCATTGTGTCCCCTGATGAGGCTCTGCGTCTGAACGCCAGGTGCTCCTCACCTCACTGTCGGGTCACAGATGACCTGCTTACGAGGGCTTATGATGCTGGAGCGCGGGCCGGTCGTATCGGTAACTCCCTATCCCACATCTTGCTGGCCCTCTCAGCTTCTCTGCAGGAAGACAGTGTGGATGTTGCCCCCAGAAGTCTCAGTGATGCATCCTTGTATGCATTTGGCCTCATGACTAGAGAACTCGGGAGGATGATGTCCATCTTGGTCCAGACTCGCCGCCAGGTATGGCTTGCACAGGCGAATCTGACGGAGGCCAGTAGACGGACTCTCCGTAGCCTCCCAGTGGAACCAGGGGAGCTATTTGGGTCAGCTGCGCTGGAAGCGCTGGAACGAACTGTCCAAGCTGGGCAGACCAGGCAGCAGCTCCTGGGTCTGCGTAGACGTATGCCTCCCCCTAGCAGACCTCCCTCCAACAGGTCTGGGGGCCCCTCAATCGCCCCCCGAGTCCGCTTACCACCACCAACTCTCTCCAGCGACCGTCGTGGTCCTCAGCGTCCTGTTCAGAGGCTGACCCGTTACTTTCGTGGCTCTGCCCACTTACCGTCCAGGCAACCTCGGGCCCCAGATCCCGTCCGCCCCTCCAGGGCCCCTCGGGGCCGGGGGGCCAGGAACTGAGGCGTCTGGGACGGCTGTCGGTTGTTTCTNCCTGCCTTCACCCTGAGTCAGCTGGGATAGACTCCGCCCCCCACGACCCTAGTGAGGATGAAGGTGTAGAGATGATGGATGGATGGATGATGTATTGTTTCTTTTGCAAAGTGTCCCGGTGTCGGCGTAAAGCGCCGGTGAGATCCAGCAGCCGCCGCCAGGCCTGAAGAACCAGAAACACTGTGAAGGAGTCGTTGTAGAAAACGGTTCTCACTCTGCACACTTGATTCAACCTGGATACCTGGACTATAAAGAACCTGGCGGAACATCTGCAGTGTCGACGGTCTGAAACAGACGAAACAGTGGAGCGCAGCGGACGCCGGCCAGCAGGGGGCGGCAGAGTACGGCGGCGGCGCAGCGGCGACCCGAGGAAGAACCAAAACCAGAAACAGGACGTTGCGTCTAATCTGAGAAACTGCAGGCAGCTGAACATGAATAAAGCTTCCCAGCTTCTGTTCGCCCCTAATTAGCGGCCCGTGTGTTGCTGTGGATGCGCTGAGACCACGGACAGCCCGACCTGAACCGGTAAGCCCGGCCGCCGTGATGGCGGCTCCGCGCTAAGCTAGCCGCCGGACGGCTCCTATTTGTGGGACAGGCTCCATCAGTCAGGCTGCAACACGGTTCACGTGTGGCCGCTTGACAATCGTGTGGTTGTGGGGTTACCTCTCCGCTGCTTCGGCCTTAGGATGCTGAATGGATGTGGGTGAGGCGGCGTCGTGCCTCCTGCTGGGGCGGCTGGCGGAGCGACGGGGCTCCGGCCGGACCGACCCTCCGCTCACCGCTCCAAGGCTCCAGCTGCGAGCTTTGTGTTGTTGGACCACGACTCATGTGATGTAATAATGTTCGTTACTGCGGGTTGGAGCTGCAGGCTCCGTAAGACTCACCGATCTGAACCTTAGATCTAAATGATGGTTCGGATGAGGCGGTCCACACCAGCCTCCTGCTGAGGAGCACAGAGCTGCTGGATCAGGACCCATTCAGTGTGATCACTGCAGAATCACAGTTATGGCTCAGATGGTGTGTGCCACACATGGTGGGCATGTGAACAGTGAGATGGAGACATGATGCTGTCTGAACCACACGGACCTCCACCAGCAGCTGGAATCTGACAACAAGTCACCAACATGGCAGGTTTGGCTGTTGGACGTCCCAGCTGCTCCACACCGGCTCTCTGTTGACCACCAGCTTCACATCAGAACCATGTGCATGGCTATCTGTGCACATCAGAACTGGTCTATAAAACTCTTAGATGTGAACAACCTGTGATCAGACATATATACATCATTACTGCTGTAGAAGTGAAACAGGGCTCCAGACACCGATGACAATGGCTGCACTCATG